TCAGACTTTAGTGCTACAGATAAACCTCATTTGAGTAAGTCTTACAATACCCTGATGCCTGGCTTTCTCTACCCATACAACAGAAATACTAATCCTTCAGTACCATATGGTGCTGATACAAGGTTGCATTCCCTGAGGATTTCAGAATCTCTGCAAATACTGTTCCAGTGCCAGGATAGTAAATCTGTTTGCGGGAAAAGTGTTCAGGTAAAGAGAAGGCCAAAGTCCAGGACTGTGCTTCCGGATTGGAGGGCAAAGCTCAGAGGTGAGCTGTAGCAAATCTTGTAGGAGAATAGACAACTCCACTGCTCACGTATGTCTGGGGTTTTTTTAACTCATCAAACTACTTTGTTATAGAAGTGTAGTTAAATCTGTCAAAGCCCTTAGTTGTAAGTGCAGTTTTACCTTAAGAAGAACATAAATTTAATCACTCTGAGTTCTTGAAACAAGAAAACTGATTTAAGAATATACTCAGCAAAGACAGAAAACTTCACAAACACTCTTTGTGGTTGCCTCGTTTCACTCTGATGCCTACAAAATCATTTTGAGTAATAGATGAAGCTTGGTGGAATCTGCTGCAGCAAACTGAAGGTGCTGTTCAGCCAGGTAGGACTTGCAGGGTAGTATGGGTCAATTCTTCTAATCCTCCTGGAGTGGGAAATCTCTCCCTGAACGCCCTTGTTTTCTGACAGGCAGGAAAAGCTTGGAGTGTGAAGGAGGAAGTGACTCTTTGTTGCTTTCAGTACCCCAATATCAAGGACAGCTGAAACTGGTACTTGCAGAATAAATATATCTGTTTAGCAAACCAGACCAAATGCCTTTAACATGAGAAGAGTGAAATGTAAATGTTAACAACCAAGAAGTCCATCTAAATGCTTTTGCATGCTTATTGCTGATTGCTGTTTCTTCCAAGCCTCTGTAGTACAGTCCTGGGTCAAGAAGCTTTACTAGTCTATAGCTGATGCAGCAGCCACTGCTGGGTTCAAAGCAGACAGGAGATGATCTCTGCTGGCAGCAGTGCAGGTTTTGTACTTGTACATTAAACAACAGCGCCAGCTGGAGTTACGTGTGAGGCCACAGAGCTTGGGAAAAGCTTCCTACTATGATACAAATTCAACCAGTCAGATTCCCATGGAGTCAATATGTGTTTTGCACTCTTTTCAAACTAATTTATCAGAAGAAAATCTGTTTTCTCTGTGACTAGAGGATGTAGACATAGACCCATATCACAAGCTCTCAGTATTTTATTTCGACGCAAATGTCATTTCTGTTGTCTGGACTTTGTTCTGAACTATTAGGTCAAATACAGTTTCAGAGGTACCCCAAACTGGATATGGGGAGGATATGGTATAGATATATAACAGCAAAAGCCTGGATTGTAAATGATATTGGCTAAAAAGGCAGAATAGAAAACACTTTCAAGGTCTGGTATTCATCCTCAATAATTTGTGAAGAAAAATCTCCTGTGCAAAATACAAGTTTTCTAGAGAAACTAAAGAACTCACAACATTAGTGATTTGGATATTGAAATTTCACAAAGCTTATTTAGGTGTGTGCTGGATACCAGATTTATGTCCACGGAGATAATGTATGTTTTTGCGTGTTAGATATGCCATCTAGTTAAATAATTGTATAAAATCAGGATGAATTACTCGTGCTGTCTATATAGTCATAACTTGCACCGTACTAACAAACACTTTAAAGAAAAGAAAGCATGTTCGTAAGGATAGTAAATTTAGTGACATACCACAGCTGAACATCTGCAAGTGCATCACAGGTGAAAACTCCTGGCTTTCCCTTCTGCTGCAGCTCCAGGACACATACTCCAAGAGCAACATTGCTTGTCTCACCGGGGAGGAAATAGGAGATTTCATCCAAAACTTGGATCTGATTGAAAGTCAAGACAGAGTGGCTGATCCCTGCTGGCAAGTAAAGTGGCACCTGGGAAAATTAATTAAAAAGGTATTTGGGAACCAACGCACTGAAACAGTATGCTTAGTGATACTACAATTCAAAGAATCCTAATAGCAGGATAAAGGTGGGGGATCCTGGGTTGTTTGCTGCAGAGCAATAGTCAAGCCACAGCTTCAGCTGCAGAGTGCTTGCACTGAAGCCGAAACGACCCATGACAGTGGTTTCACTGCATTCAGGAAATAAAGCAAAGACAATCGTTTTTTCCTACATAAGTTTCAGTCATAGGTTGGCTTGTCTGAAATACCTCAGAAGTGTTTGACTTGAGCTTGTTTTCTACCTGACCATACAGATCATAGGGCTAGCAGAGGTGTCACTCACTCTTTGGAAATACAGGGAGACTGGCATGAGAAAATGAAGTTTAACACAGGGAGAGGTAAAAAAGTGCTGGAGGAATGGTCTGGTCATGAGCTCTGTAATGTACTGGGGAGGAAAAAGCGAGCAAGCATCCAGCATCAAGCACAGCATCTTCCCAGCTCAGTATTCCAAGAACACCATCTCCTACATGACTTTCACACAATACATATAGTTTTGGCTACAGAGAGGAAAATAAGCCTGGCTGAAAAATCAGAAGGGCTAAAATCTTCTGGAGTGGTTTTCAAAATCCCATATCCAGCACATAAAAAAAGCTCATCCAAAAAATTCATTTGTGGCTGCAACTTACCTAGCACATCTTAGCAGCCCAAAATAGATCCTCTATTTGTAGTCAGAGATCTTGGCTCCTTCAGTGGAAATTCTGTCAGTGATGTCCCTGAACTTTGCATAAAGAAAACATTGTTTTGTTTGGTGGACGTTTAGACATCTAATATACCTGCTAGCTCCCTGATTGCTTAAAAAAAAGCCTGGGTGCCAGAAATCATAAATTTTTATAATAGTTATAATAATATGATAGGAAGGGAAGGTAAAGGACAGGAGGGGAAGGGAAGGCAGAACCCATTAGTAGGTGGCAGTACAGGGCCCATGTTAGTTACCCAGATAAATCATTGCAAACCATCAGCATGCTTGCTGCAGCTGCACCACTGTTGGTGACCAAACCAGTTTGTTTCAGCAGTCAGCAGTCAGAAAAAAGGGGAATACACAAAGATATGCTGGCTTAAGACCTCACATAGGGATATAAAAAGAAATGAAATGTTTTCTCATGTATTTTGTTACAAAAAAGTTGTAAACATAGAAATATTTTATTACAACAAATTAATAGGCCTTTTTTATTTGCTTGTGGATCAAATCCATAATACCCTTTATTCATTAACTGAGATGGGAGTGTCTTTTTCCTGAACCCATCAGTTTCTGAACTAATTTGTTTTCTCTGTATTTGTTGGTAGATGATGCCAAGAAGCTATGAGGAAAACATATCTTCAGTCAATGGTATTACAATATTTTTATTATCTGTGGCAAAAAGTTGCACCTAGTGGCACCTGTTTTGTAGTGATTCAATTCATAAAAAGTGCAAAAAACACTTAAGATCTTGTACTGGCAGCGATGATTAGTGGTTAGAGCAAGGTAACCAAGGGGGATGCTGAAGACTCAGCTTCTAGACCTCAGTCCCACAGTATTACGGGGCTGTTTAAACAGTCTGCTCTCCTAGAAACAAGCAGCACTGAGCTGCTGCACACGTAGATCAGTTAACAAATAGCTTTGCTGAAGCTTGTACAGCCCTAAACACATTGAGTGAAAGCATTACAACTTCCAAATGGAAATTTGGTGTAAAGATTGCAAATGCTTAACCATTAAAAATGCTGATTGTGAACGTGAAAATTTGGTACTATGGGTTATTTTAATTAGTCTATTGGTAATTTAGGGGCTGGGAGAAGAGAAAAAGGACAAACGGGCATATAAAGACATTTCAAGGAAAGCAAGAGCAAAAGAGAAATTTGAGCCATATTAGTCAATGTAATGTACAGCATTCAGTCTATGATTTAGTCAATTAAAAAAGTGACATACCTATTCCTTAAAATTGGGTCAAACAGGACAGATGTGCTTTCTGACATTCTTGCTTCTAACACAACGTTCCTTTTCTCATCTTTCTGTAGCTGAAAGAACCCTGACACTGTCACACACTGACAGGCAGCAGCCACTCCGCCCCATCAACAGGATCGCAGCGCATCTGACAGGCAACAGCAATAGGAAGAGTTCCCTGTCCCCACGCAGTAAGAAAAAACCTTTAAAAACAGTTAAAGATCACAGAAATTACTCTCTCATTGCTAGCCTCATGCTTATATACCCTTTTTAATACTTGCATTGAGTTAACTGTAAGAAACAGATCATTAAAGTCTTCTTGTCCCAGACAATGTTTTTTTCAGCTAATTCTTGCAGAACAGGAGAAAGCCTGTTCTCTCTGGGTACCTTCTTAACCTTTCTTCTGGAACCTTCATTAAGGGGAAAAAAAATATTATTCTTCCTAATGTTAAGTTTTTCTCTTTCCTTTAATTTCCTTCTGTTAGTTTTGTAAGTCCCAGCTGCTATGGTGACAGACCTATTAGAAATGCGAGATTGAAACAGGAGGGACTTGACATTCAGGCCATATTAATGAAAGGCTTGGTAGGGTTTCTGCAGCTTTAGAGGGTATCAGACACAAATAGATCTTTTAACTTTGTCACTAAGTAACAACATAATGATTTTTCTGTTATTCATGGGTCACAAAAATTATAAATAAGGTAGTCCATGTGAATTCCCACATAGAGCTAAACAGCTTGCTTCAGACCTTCAGATTGTTTTGAGAAAGGACCTAAGGAACCACTGGGAAGAGCAGATTTCCCTACTTTGTTATTAAAAACTAGACACCCCAACTACCAGACACCTGGCTTCATTATCTGGGAAGTAATTTAACATTTTCTCTCTTTTTTTTCTCAAGTAGATTCCTTGGCCAGAAAAGGGAGTGGACAAAAAATAAGCAACTGGGAATCGTCAAGGAAAGGCCACTCTTTTCTTTACAACGTGGAGCTGAGAAATGGCGAGTTAGTGATACCCCAGACGGGCTTTTATTACATCTACTCACAAATTTATTTTCGTTTCCGTGAAAACGAGAATGAGGATTCAGATTTTTTGGCACAAATCAGGAGTCCCAAACAGCTTGTGCAATATGTTTACAAACTGACTAATTACCCAGAGCCCATTATGCTCATGAAAAGTGCAAGAACAAGCTGCTGGTCTAAAAAGGCGGAATATGGACTTTATTCCATCTACCAAGGTGGAGTGTTTCAGCTGAAAAAAGAAGACAGGATTTTTGTCTCTGTCAGTAATGGTGATATAGTTGACATGGACAAAGAAGCAAGTTTTTTTGGAGCCTTTCTGATTGGTTAAATGATGAAAATCATGCTCCATAGGTGCCAATTTTCTTTGTCAGGATCAGCTTAAAATACTCTAAACCAGGGAATAATAAGCAAACACTGTAGCAATACTGGCAATACCATACTCCCCTTTCTTAGCTTACTCGTTGCAAAGTCTGACCATGCCAAATACTCTCCCACCAGCCAGGAAGGAGCAGCAGTGGCGGATGGTGATGCTTTGTGCAGGCTCCACAGCTCGCTGCCCAGCCAGGCAGGGAACATGCAAGGATGTCACACCACAGATGATACCTTTGGCCAAAACCCTAGGCAGGTAAGTGCTCACCACCACCTCCACAGAGGTGCTCCACACCAGCTTAGCTGCGGCACGTGGGATGGAGGATGCTCCGGATCTGGTTACTCAAGGTTGAGACTGGGCATCAAATTTTATTCGTGATCTCTATTGGGATCCGCTCTTGAGTATCTCAGCTCCTGTAAGAAGCCTTTACAAGCACTGCTTCCCAGATGCCTGTGTAATTACTCTGGAAGTTTTTGTTTGAACCTGAGTTTTACAAAAGTTGAAAGGCCATCAGAAATTCAAACTGCACATCTTCATCTCGTCTAAGCACTTAAGCACCTAATCAATTCTAAGTACATGAACAGTCTGGCTAAATCAGGGTATTTACATGCTTGAAATTAAATATGTGCTTAAGCAGTTTTCATGATCATGGCTTGAGTAAACACATTAGCCTGTCTTAATCAGGATATTGTACATAAAACCAGCTGCTGAAATGGCACAGAAGAGGTTTTGAAATCAATCAGTATTTTGATCAGCACATTACAATAGTGCCTATTAATTGCTGTGCTGCAAAGATTTCACCAGGCTTCCAACAGGTTCAGTAATGTACTTGCTGTTACACTTGTTAACAACAAGTACTTGATACAGAAAAAAAGGTGTGTTTCTGTAAATACGGAATTTTATTAGACATTTGCCACAAATTAAGCCTGACATGGTTCTTCCACATTTATTTGTACTGGCCTGTATTTGGTAGGATTTAATTCAGTATAACACACCCTGATTACTAATATTTTGACGAAAACAGACACAACTATCTATACTTAAAGAAAAGCTGCATATTTAGGCAATGCTGTTCTGATTTTCTTTTATTTTTAGGAATGGGTGGAAAATTCTTGTAATTTTTTTTTTTAACCATAGTTTTTTTAAAAAACGGCTGCTGTATTTTTTAACTCTTTGAGTCAGACTATTTTATATTAAAAAAAAAAAGGAAAAAATAAGATTTGCAAGTGTAAGCTGTGGGCTAGGTGCACAGCAGAAGTCAAGTAGCATAAATCAGCACATACATAGCACTGTCGGTGAAGTGATACCAGTTTGCATTTTGCCCAGATTCAGAGAAAAAGGGGGAAAAAAGACGGTGAAAGTAAAAAAAACCAAATAAATGGAGGGAAAGGGAGATGGTTGTTCTGCAGAAGTTACTTTACTTCAACAGAATGATGCCAGGAAAAAGTCTGGTTGTCTTTTTAATACATGAAGGTTGCTGTGGGAACCCTCACATTCACCTCCACATTCTGGTATTTAAATCACTGTACAGCCCTTGCCTATGGGCCTCATGAGTAAACATGCATCGTTCATCTTACTACTTTGTCAACAAGAAGATATGAATAGACACAAGCCTCAGTATTTGTCATTGCGAAAAGCAGGTACATCAGTTCATTTAAATACCTGTGTTTGAGCAGCAAGAGAAGAATTTCAGGAATACTCTCCTATTGACAGGTTAAGTAACACACTGCCGTAAGCCTAAAATGATGAGGCTTGACTTTGCCTACTGTTCTCACATAGCGTCACAAGTACTGTTTTCAGTGGTAATCAAATATGTGAAATTCTTCATCTTTTACTGGAACACTTTAGTTTGCCTCATTCTCAAATCATGTTTCAACAGAGAACAGAAATTTTTTCTTCAGTTTTCTTTCTGATTTCAGCATGTAATTCAGGAATTTTTTGCCCACCCAGAAAAAGCTGGGGAGAACAAAACCATTCTCTGCATATTTGGATGTCTGCTCTATTCATGACTTTTGTAGGTTTTCCTTGCAAACAGACCAGGCTTTTTGATCTCAGCACAGGATTGACCCATGTTGTCAGGTTTGAGGGGGGTTTTAGCAATTTATTATATTAAAAAGTTGGTATTTTAAAAAATGTTAATTTAGGTGCTTATTTGAAAGAAATTTTATTTGAACTGTGAAAAAGTATTTTGGGTTTACTGGTGGCAGCTTAGACCCGGAAGCCCTCCCTATGGCTAAGACCAATTTGTGTAATGTAGGAGTTGTGGCTGCTAGAAAGGACTGGAAGGAAACCAGGGGGGACTCCATGAACTTGCAGCTGATGCTAAGAGAAAGTCTATTACACATAGATTTTTTTACTCTGTGTTCTTTCCTCAACTCTTGGTGTGTAACACCATGCCTGCTGTTGCTTGGGGAATGCTCCATGGTATTACCTTTTTTATCTAAATATACATATTATTGGTCTCTGCCTGCAGAGCATATCACAATAGGAATCACACCAAATAATCATATTTTATTTCTGAACAGTCAAAAGGCATGCCTGCCAGATATTATCCTGGGGGGGAGATTATCAAGCGATATCATACAGGACACATTTGAAGATGAATGGAAAGATAGAGCAACTTCTGTTTGTACATTTGCACCCTGCATCATACTTTTCATCTCACTTTATGTTGAATGGTGAATGTAGCGAATTTTTATTTGTGGATGTAGGTTGTGGTAACATGTAAAGATTGTAATTTTTCTACATGCATTTTATATAAAACATTTTTATTAGTTACTTAGTCTTGCAGTGATTATTGGTATCAGCCTATGGCTTCTATAACAACGCTGTCTGAAATAATTTCTGTGACATTGGTTGGTATCAGTTATAACCAATTAAATGCCGCAAACGGTTGCAATGCAAAGGATATAATGTGAACTGCTGAGCAATGCCATACTGTGTAATGCTGTAAAAGCGGCTTCCAGACGTTAGTTAGTGAACACCATCTGGAAGCAGTATACTGAAGAAATCACTGAAAATAACCTCATGACCAGAGACTACAAAATGCTGAGCACTTCCCTCGAGGTTCTTCTCGTATTTCTGGGCTTTGGCCATTATTTAAGTAGTGAGAAATCTATTTATTAGGGAAACATTTGATCCTTGTCCATTACCAAACTACATTAGAAGATACATGGAATTAGATGCACAAGGACTATTTACACAGATGTTGTAAAGCTGCAGTGAACTGGAGATCCCCTAATCTTGAAAACAAATGCACTCCCTGCCCCAAAAGCAAGCACAGGATATTGTTTGGTCTCTTCACACAATTTGCCCCAACCAAAAAAGCGTATGAAACCCAAGCGAACCCAGGAAACCCAGCAAGAGATGAAGACACTGTCCAACCTGAGCCCCAGCCTTGACGTGGGTAAGGGGGTGGTTTCATCCTGCATGTGCAGAGAAGGGCTATAGCTGGAGCAGGAGCAACATGCCAGGGTAGGGAAACCACTTGCTTTTCAGGCACAAACCTCCGGGAACGTTGCCTTGGGCACCACAAGGGCTTTTTCATCTTCTGTGTGTCTTCTTTTGACATTGCCTTTTCTTAGCAGTCCTCGTTGTACTGGTCTCTGGAAGACCCCCACGTCACTGTTACACACACTGCACATCCATGTGATTAACAAAAGGATACTTACCGCCCTAATTGACTCATAAGCTAAATACATTTAGCCCAGTGTTTGTGTTTGTTAGGCTTTATTTGGAATAGATGGGCATGCCTCAAACCTCAGTGATCAGGCACATTGGTCTGTGTGTGTGGCTCTGCCCATCCACGCCAAACTCCACTGGAACCAGTATGCCATGTCCAGGGATGAGCAGCCCCCGCAAGAGCAGCCCCAAATTGCAGGGGTGCTCACAGGTTTTCAAAAGAAATTACTCCTTTCATACAGACTGCTTTTATTTCAGCAGAGGGTTTTCACTTTTCCAGTGTTTCCATGGGAAAGTGGACATGCCAAATAACTGGCTTTTATGTACCCTCCGTTACTTCATGGAAATGGACTTCTATTTTTTGCCTCTCTTTGCCTTAGTAAATGTAATTATTATTGTTTGTATTGCAGCAGTATCCACTGCCTAGGCAGGATCAGGGATGCATTTGCTGTACTCCATGCAAACAGTTAAAAAGCCTGATTCATACACTGAGATTTTTAGATTCATAATTTTAGTTGTCAGATTGCATCTAAATATTAGGGTCTGAGAAAAGACTGAATGTAATGATCAATATGGCATAAATAGGCACAGTGAGACAAGATCTTGTTAATCCCTTCAAGGCACCTTGTGTTATTCAGTAGCAGAAATGGAAGATAAATTAGGATATTGTTGGGTCTGATCTAATTTTCACAGGTTGGATTTGTTTGGGGTTTTTTTCATGTAGAATTACATGGAAGTTTATATCAGTTTTCATCAGAATTTTCTAAAACTTGGTTCTCCATAACTTTTCTCTGTTAACAAACTGAAATTGCATGCTATATCACATGTTAAAAATCATTATTCTGATTACCAGGGTACCACAGATAACTGTCTGACCACCACATCACTACTGCTTTGTAATACCACGCCTCTTCCTGAGACATTCTTAATCCAAACATGTATAGACATTTCTATTAATTTCCTCTAAAAGTCTTAGAAGTGACATTGAGTTTGGACACTGGGTCATGACAGAAATGCTATCAAACTGCTTTGGTCTTGTCAGTGAGATAATACTGCAACTTAGGGCAGAAGCCTGTCAGTTTAAGCAGCTCCCGTTTTCATGAGCCCGTCACACATACAACACTCACAGCATTAGCAAACAGGAAATCCAAAGTTGTTCAAACTGCCTTTCAGAAACCAGCAATTGAAACACAATAGAATCCAAGGCACAAATTCGTCCTCAAGATACTTTTGATTTTGTCTGATTGTGAATTCCTCAGGTCATATTATTCTCAATT